CGCTTCGCGGACGTGATCTCGATCATGTGTGTGTACACTCTCAGAAGTGTAAATCAGAGCTGACGTTTATACGATTAGCGGAGTTTTCGAGTAATCGAGCAAGCGTGGCGCTTTGATATATCGTTCGGACAGATTGTCGGACAATTTGTTGATCTCGATAGGTAGAATTTATCGAATGCGAGATACATCATTCTTTAGTTCTTTGTGAGATGTTGATCGAGGGTTGTGCATCGATAAGAAGGGAGCTTCATTTTTTCAAATTTTTGCGTAATTAGGAAAAAAAACTTCCCGAAACTCCTCCGTTACACGTACATACATAGATAGCAAGCATTTTTTACTCGGAACACTGGCGACGCCGATATGTAAATTTCGAAGTTGTAGGCGAACGACAGTCTCTCCCGCCGATGCTTTATATGCTTTGGACGTCGCATAGAGAGCCAGTCCGTTTTCTTGAAAAGTTAAGTGTGACAAATCAGCCACGCGGTTCTGTTCAGGCAGCTAGCGAGTCTGAATTTTATGTCATTCAGTACAGCCAGGTGTATGGCATATGTTAAACACTTACGCATCCAAATTCTGGTTTCCCGTAAACATTTTTGCCGCACGATTTATTCAACGCGGAGCTATCTCTCTATCTTACAGGTACTTTTTTCCGTCGCAGTACAAGCGACGCGTACCCTTTTTCCGTCGAGTGGCGAGCGTTGCGTGTTTCGAACACCAGTGGGAATCATGCACCGCGATATCTTATCGTCCCGCACGAGGTGTCGCGCTGTCGAGAATGCGATACCGTTAATTGATTCTCATCCCGTGGCGGTTAAATGAAATTTCTTCGAGTCGCGGGAATACGCCGCGAACGCGTTCCCATCGCGCGATGTTAATTTAAACGCGAAGAAATCCGAAGTGTCCTGGCGTTGCCGTTGAAAAAAAAAACTTACCACGCTAGGACGATTACGCAGCGAACCACCGCCTGGACCTGTTTGCGAGGAATCTCGGTCAGATTCGGTTAATGCCTCTCGAAATTATGCTAACGAGAGTTACGAATGGTCATTTTCCTACTCTTTTTTTTTTTTGGAACGATTAAAACTGTAATAAATATTTATGCTCGACGTACGGTAAACCGCGGACCCGAGGAATGAGCGTTGGCGCACCGAATCATGGAAGTCTTGGTTGGGTTTCGATCGTTCTTAATACCTCGGTGTGTTATCAATTTTCCATTATCGGTGCCGCCGCGTCGAGGCGTTGCTCACCTCGCGAGCTCGTGAACCTGTCGTCAACCTGTCGACGCGAGTTGGTTTCCGCGTCACCGTCGAACATTTACATTGTTGCTAGAGGCGCGCGCTGTTTGCACGTGTGTCTGCGACGGTCGCTTAATATGCGTGGGCGTTGGAGCCGCGGTGCGTGATTCAAGGCGGGTTCTCACGAGCCACTCTCTCGCGGTCGATGGAGGGGTGTCGGCGGGGGAGATTCGAGGCGCGAGAGGACTGGAGAGAGGGTGCCCGGGAAAAGTGACGAGAGACACGCCGCTCTGGTCAAGGGAGAGGGGTCGGTGTCGCGAGGGGGAGAGGGTCGCGCAACGGTACGCGTTCAGTCGTTTAGGAATTCGCGAATACTTTAAACGGGAGTAAAGCAACAGCGAGCGTTCTCCCCTGTCTCTTCGCGTGCGTTCGTGATAGCACGCGCCTGCACGAGACCACGAACAGGGGAAAACGTCGCGCTGTCGCCTTGGCGACAAGTGGAAACGGTACCCAACATCATCGGAGGGCTTTGCGATGCGGTGTCGTGCCCTCTCGTTCTCTTTCTCGCCTCTTCATCGCCTCTTCACCTCGGCTGATGAAAGAATTTGGGACACTGACAGATTTTGTGGGTTGTTAACCCCCCCCTCAGTCGAGTGTGATCCGACGTTGTAAGTTTTGGGTGAGATTTCGAGATGAAGTGGGACGGATTTGTAGTAACGTCTGTTTAGGTTTGTTTCGGAGTGGAGTTGATCGAATGCGTTGTTTTAGCTTGAGTTAGGTGACGTTTAGATACTATTTCGAATAGGGTGTTATAAAAATGATATCTTGGTATGATATTAGATTGAAATACGACTTCAAATAGTATTAAATAGTGTTAGTTGATCCGTGTGTTGATGCGATAGCTTGTAGCGTCCAAAACGAAGTAATACGAAATTTGAATATATTCATCTACGTCGACGTGAGCATTACCAGTCTGGGGCACGCGTCCGTAGTAGTTGGACGTTTGAATATTGAAACGAGGGAAACGTCATCCGACTCGAGGGTTCCGTATAAATTATCCGGCGAAGATACCGTTCTGATATCGTTATCATGTCATCGGAGATTGCTAAACAGGCAGGCGAACGTTTCTTCTTCGCTGCTTCCTACGCGTTCAGTTTCGATAAAGTCTTCTCCTTCCGCGCCTAATTATCATGTATCGTGTGTGCGTTGCGGGCTCAAAGAAAGCTAACATTCCAGAATTCACTGCCGCTCGAAATGCCTACGAATCCGTAATACGGGATGCCGCGCGACGATTTTTAATGATCTTCATTATCCATCGTCATGCAAACGCCATGCCGCGTCGCGGCGAGGAACTTTACTTTTCCACAGTGTGACGACCACGATCGCCTAATTTGGGTTCGTTAACTCGTACAGCTCACTTTTACAAAGTATTTTATTACTGGAGAAATATTCGTTTTTTTTTTTTCTCTCAATTCTTTTCATCCGGTCAGAGGAATACGAAGGAGCACGGAATCAGACGACCCTTCTATTTTCCCTTTCGATGTTTCCGCGCGTTTGTTTTCTCTTTCGTATAATATAATCGTTCCATCACGTTAAGACGAACGAATCGCATACGTGATTATGAATATACCTGACATGCCCATCGGAATATCGAAGCAGGTGTCCTCCATTCATTCACCGAAGCTGCTGTCTAGTCGAGCGAGCTGTTTGTAGCGACGTATTCGAGCGTCTTTCGAGCGAAATGAAATATTTTCTTCAACGTTATCGCTGTGCACCTTTCTTAGACCTCGCTCTTCGTTTCCGAAGGAAGCTGGTGACATAGCTATATATTCCAAATATAGAAGCACGAGAATGAGAAAAGTTCTTATAAGAAAAATAAAAAAAAATAATTTCAAATAGAAATATAGAATTATATTAAATAAAAGCGAAAAACGTTATACGTAAATACGGACTAATTTTAACAAACTACCGAAAAGGTCAACGAGAACTCGATGCTTCTTTTTTTATCTAATGCTGTCGAGTGTCGACGCAGGGACGTCGCGATTATACGGGACAAGCGACGCTCCGACATGTGTACGACATTTACACGGTGACGTGACGGAACGACGACCAACGCGCCCCGCCGTCTTGTTTTTGCATTCCGGGTGTGTACTCCCACGAACAATTAGGCTTGTCGTCGGATTCTTCGGGCGCTTCCCGTCTGCCCGATGTGCGAACGCGGGAACAATGAACGATATTCTCGTGGCTTTTGGATTTGAATAATCGTTCGTCGCGATATACCGTTGCGAGGATACGTATTGAATCATCGCTCAGTGTCCCCGTCGCTTTTTTTCTCGTTCACACCGTATACGCTGCGAAACGATAGAACGCGACGTGAATTTGTCGTGTTTCTCGAAACTTGTTAGTCGAGAGTATTTTGTGAATTATTTCGCTAAAATTCAAGATAAATTTACATTAAACTATTGCTAGATTCTTGTCAGAAATAATCGAACTGACCGAGTTTGGTGCCACTAGTAGCGATAAATGTCATTTTTCTATACGTTGGATATTTAAAAAAATGGTATATAAATGGATTAATACGTGCGTAGTTTACAACGGTAAAGAATGTCCCTTGCGCTTCATTGAAATTGTGAAACACAAACAATATAGGGGAGCTCTGTCATTTCGTCTCGGTGTCGGCATAAGTGCGAAATCGTCGAAGCGATTTTAATTAGCGACTCCTGGTGCTTCGTTTACGCGGAAATCGACGCGTTCTCCTCGAGAATCCTGTTGTCCGAGGGATCGTGATTTACACGCCATTCAGACGCATGCAATGGTGCTAATTATTACTGACAGCTTCATTTACATAGAAATTGACGTATTTTTTTCTGTTATCGCTGTCTGCGTTTGCTTTGAGAGTCGTCTGTTCTTCGAGCTGCAATTTAAACGTCATTAATGTCCACTGCCGTTTCGAGTGGTATCGGGAGCCCGATGATTTATCGGATGCTTGGAAACGAGTTCGAAATGTTTTATTCCGTTTTCGAAATACGAATTCGAAAAGAAAATCATTTTTCGTCTCGTTACGTCTCTTCCTCGTTCGCCACGGGATATAAAATTCACGAGAGCACGAAATGCATGGAATATTTGTTTTCGATTCCCCGTACAATACTGTTCAGATATCCAAACATTCGTTAAATCGATGTTTGGATAATGAAGGCCGCGTCGTATTTATCCAGCGTGGCCGCAGTGGAGCAAACGCATCGCAGGTATTCGCTGCCGCGTATCGATCATCGTCCCACGAGCCGAGGGTAACATTAGAGGGCTCATTACGTTCGTATCCTTTGTTACAACAATGGCTACTTGGCATTCGCGTTATGCCGTCGGCTCGACATTGTTCTCCGCGGTGTGCGCGACCGTTTCACGAGGCATCGTGTGCATACGTGGGATTCAATTGGAGGGCAATGCGTCTTCCGTTGCATCCTGAGCTTTGCTCGCGGATCTATCCTTAAGGAAATAGAACCCGCGTTACCTAGAATTCGCGAAAAGAGCGACTCGAGTTCTCCGCGAAGATCTGGAACGAAAGAAACGCACCGACCTCCTTGGGGAGCACGATCGAGGTCTTTAGGGAGTCTTTATACTCATCTTGCACGAGTCGTGTTTTATGTAGTAGCATCTATTGTTACATTTTCACTCATTTATTTCCAATTTTTTCGGCTAAAATAACTGTGGGGAATTTTGGTTTTGGAAGAAAAACGTACCATACTGATTACTAGTTTTTGTTTGTTTCAGCAAATTCTGCAAAACTCCTCGGTGTCTGTAGAAATCGAAGTGCGACCGAGGCAATTGGTCCCAGACACCAACTGCTTCATCGACTATCTGCCGCAACTGCAAAACATCACCAAGGCGACATCCGGTGCGCAGCCGATCTACACGCTCATGGTGCCGCTTGTGGGTAAGTAACAGATTCACAGGCGCCAAAATTTCGTTGTCTATCGAAGGATTAAACTAAAATAGAGTCGCGTACATTTGTTGTTTAAATTCAGCTTTATCGCATCTTCGTACAGCTCCTCTTGCGTATCGACAGCTACAAGATAAACGATTTCCATGTATTTTAATCGCGAGAAAAATTCATAGAAATATCCACGGTCGTAGAATCTTGATCTTTCGTGCAATAAATTCTTGATAGATCGGGAGAGAATCGTGTCACTCTTGACAACATCGCGCATTCAGCGTAGATGACTGTTTTCCATGATCTCTGACGCGATTATAAAAATCAATTGTACGGGTTACTTATGCAAGAATCGATGACTCAATGCTCCTGCAATTAAAACTATATACACGTATCCTCGTTGCTGTAACGAGAGACTACTTTATATTTGTCAAAGCCAGTGATTTAAAACGCAAAATGAAATGGGGATTGAAATTCAGGTTTTAGCATAACTCCGAAACCGCGTTGAAAGGATACACTCGGTCGTATATCTACAGGGGGGACGTTAGGGTGGGGTAATTATCCTTGTTATTCGCGAAGGATCCAATTCTCTCGTTTTCGTAACGCGAGCCTCTCGGCGCGAGGACTACAAGGAAGAGATTAAATAATTCTGCACGGTCGCCAGAAACATCTTCGAACAACCGGTTGACCCCCTCCTGGTACCGGAGGGCATTTCTTTCGAGGGTCGTCGATTATCCCGAGCGAAGAGGTGGGCAACTCGGCTCGAAATAATGCCTCGTTGCGTGCCCGTGGAAAAAAGTAAAACGTACGAGATAATCGGCGATAAATAACAACAGCGGGAAGGGGGGTCTGTGGCGCGAGTCCTGAGACCTCTGTACTCGACGCGCCAAAATAAAAGGGGGGGCGCCCTCGACGCGAATCGATCGAGCCGAATATCGTAAACCCGCCTCCGCGCGATGACCACCTTGTTCGGCCCTGCTCGCGAGGATTCGCCGAATTCTCGCGATGGAGAAAAAGGATACGATTGTCGATGAGAACGTCGAGATGGGAACGATACCGAATCGGTGCTATCGATATCAGCTTCCATGAATCGTAAGGCGATATCGTCTGGAGACCTTATTTAAAATTTTAGTGGCTCTCAGCTATGGGTTTGCTTCCGAATAAGTCGAAAACATTTGTGAGCAAGTCGAATAAAAATTCGCCTCGATTCAACCTAATTGCGTTTCAAAAACGTTGAATCCTTAAGGAAAATCACGGATTACGACGTATCGATTCTTACGAAAAATATCCAGCGAGTCTCGCGGAGTGTTTCCGTCGTCGTTAAAAGTATCGCCCGAGGGCGAGCGTGTCATCGGGAGGATATCATCAGCGGGTCATGGCGTGGGTCAAAACGATGCGCAAATCTATCCGACTCACCTTGCGATGACGATGATCGTCGTCATCACCGCATTGGTCATCGTTGCGTATACGTTCTTTCGCACATTGATTTTTCTCGAATTAGTTTCTATCGATACCCGTACGCGCGCAAGAACGTTTCCTATGGCCTGCGAAACGGAAAAAGCCACGGGTATTTATGGTTGCATCATTACAGTCGAGGCGAAGCACCATTAAACGAGACCTGGCAAGTTCACAGTCGATCCAAAAATAATTTCCTCGTTCGCCGGTGCCAAGAGTTTCGCTTTTTACCATCAGAAGCGACAGTCCGTTAGTTCTCGGACATCGATGCGTACCGTAATTACCCATACGTCCGAGCGTACTTTAGCATGGCAATTACCCAATTACCAAGCCGCGTGTAACTGTCGAATTGGCGTTCTCGTGGCGCGGCCGGAGGCCATCGTAAATGTGTTCCAGTCGATGCCAACGACCCGCAGTTCGTCGATAGGAGTCGTTGAAAGGATCCTTGAGAATGATGCGTGACTCCTGACATCGAACTCGTTCGCTGGCTTGTTTGAACGCAAAAAAAAAAAAAAAAAGAAAAAGATCTTGAGGGTATGGATGAAACAAATGTAGACTTTGTTCCTATATCGGTGGAATATTAATATCTAATACGATACAATAAAATAAGCATACAAGCTCACACTTAAAGCAAAGTACCATCATAAACGAGCCTGAAACTGTCAGCGGAGAACACAGTTTCCACTTGAAGTAGTCAGTCGATGATAACCCTGTCGCGATACCCAGCTACCATGATCACGATATCGTTTCTGTCAGCGCGAACGCTAACGACGACAGCGTGAACGTCTTCATGCGCAGGTTTCTTTCTTTTTCATCGCTACGCGGTGGAACGCTATCGGCGATAAATACACGATTTTCCTTGGTGGTTGACGTTGGCTAGGAATTTTACGATGATGCCGGATTTACAGGCGTTACCGTGGATTGTATTCCGTCGGCTGCTCGAAACATGCCCCGAGATGTTTGTTCGTTTTCTTACGCGCCTTCTTTCGAAAACTGAATCGTAAATATTTGAGCGTTATCGCGCGGCCTCTTCCGCGTCGCGGGCTTTTCATTCGAGTAACGAGAATGTCTGATCAACGACGGTGGCATCTACTGCGTTTCTTCCTCGCGGCCGTAAAGCTCGGTTTCCGTTAACCCTTCCGCTCGTGAAACGATACATCCAACACGCTCGGTTTTATACGTTTTCAAACGGATCGAAAAGCAATTCCTGTTATTTCAAGTTGTGCTACATTTCATTCGTCTACTGTTTAACCATTGACCTTTGGGCAGGAATGTAAAATTTGTGAAGCCTTATTGAAATTCATTCGTTTAAACGAAAAATAATACGAGAAAGAGTATTAAAATCCACGCGAAAAAGTATAATACACTGTTTCCGCGCTATTAAAGAAAATAAACGTCGATCTCTTCATTTCTCTCGTCATGCAAAGAGTAGTTCAGCAACCCAACACCAAACGCGATTTAAAAGTAATGAAACGCCGCAAGAAATGCACCTATCGCGCGTAATTTGATAACGAACGCACGGCAAGCGCATGATCAAACTTCGTTATCCGCCAGACGTCGTTCATTTATCTTCCTCTCAGTCTCGCTATCGTTTTTTCATCGTGTGTCTATCATAAATGGAGTTTGGTTGAAATGCACCGGTCATCGCGTTTTCGCCAGAACTAATGAATCGATCGCATCCGCGCGTTAAATAAGAAACCAAAGGAGACGTGTTCCGTGAGAAGATTGCCCCGAGTCCGACGGGTTCAAGGTCGTTTGAAATGGAAAGGCCCATCAATCACTGTTACATGATTGCATATTACCAGTGATTGGGTCGATAATTCAGTCGAATCAATTTCGAGACCTTCCATTAGCCAGCCGTGTTGTTCGCGGAGAATTCGAAATCGCGAGATACCTCTCCTGTCCCTCGGTCATGGCCTAGGTCAGGCACCCATCGCTATGAATTTCGAGGACCCATATCTCGGCATCGTGAATTTTCGTCGATGAAAGTGGAGAACCTGGATCTTTGTTCAATTTATGAACTCCCTTGTGCATGTATCGACTTGGAAACGGTCCAGAAGCACGGGAGCGATTATTATGTCGTTAAAATTCCCTCGTAGGTAATCTATTAGTTAATGTGACAAGTGAATTAATCTCGAAGACAGCGGTTGGATTTATGATACCGAACTGACTTTGCTGTTTTTGCGACTTGGAATTTCTGGACATTATTTCTGTATTAATTTCATTCCGGACTGTTCGCGGCTGGGACAGCTCGTTCGTTTTAATTGGGATTTGAAGGGTCTGGAAGCCTCTTCCTGTCTCTGGAATTATTCTTCTTTCCACATCCGCGAGAGTAACGTCTGTGTACAGGATGATTTCGATGTCAGTCGTTTTCTGATTTGGAGGTGCCGGTTCATTGACTGTGTATAATACACACGTACTTGTTGCGCCAATGCTTTCGACTCGCATTCATTCAACGAACTGAAATTTTTTTAATTTTTCTCGATCGTCGTATTCTACCGCCGCGTGGACAGTTTCCGTTCAGAAAAATGCGAAAGTTCCGTAGAAGCGTGGTTTCGCGTGATTCGTGCGGCGAGGAAAAGAAGAGTCGTCGGGTTTAGGAGCACAAAGGCTGTCGGCGAGGTTGCGGGTCTCGTTTGGAAATAGGATCGTTGTTCTCTATCGCGGAAACATGCATTCGTATCAGCATTCCTTCGCGCGCACTATAAATCCTCTCTCTGCTTACCATACGCAACGGTGCGCGCGAATTTTGGTCGGAACGCGTGCTTGAACTCGATGAAATTTGCTATTCCGTGTTAAATGGTATTCGGCGCCGCGCGCGCGCGGAATAACCGACGAATCGATTTGCAAGCGAATTACTCGCCTAGTACCCGCCGGGAAATACATCTTCGATTCCTTTTGCGTGTCGGCTCTTAAGGGAGGGTTGCCAAAGTCCCGCCGCTCGAGATATTCCGTCACATTAATTTTCCTTCCATGCCTTTCTTCTTCGTTCTTTTCCTTTTTGTTTTTAACCGACTTCGAAAAGGAAAAAGGTTACTCAATTCTACATGTATATTTTTTGTTTAATGTATGTTCGCCGATTACGCCGAGATGGCTTAACCAATCGGGGTGAAATTTCTTCTTTAGCACGCGGTTTCTAGGTCTATTAAAAATCGCGTCGAGACACCCTGTACACCCTCCATCGTTTCTATTGAAAGAAAGGGCATACCCATCAACGAAGCACGCTCTCAAGAAAGTAATTCCCGTCCTCGATGGATCCCCGATCGAACGCAGCCGTGGATCGAGCAAATCGTTGCAAATCCGGTATCGGTCTCCGTGCCTGTGTTTACGAGGGGGTGGGTTTCCGGGTAGACTAATGCATACCAAATGCCGTTGAATCTGCAATTGAAAGTGCTTCTCTCTAGCAGACCCGGTGCGTGTTTGGCTTGGTACGATTGTGTGTCCAAGTGGCGCGTGCAGAAATTCAACAGAACTGGTGCAACAGAAGATTGATGTCATTTAAAAAAATTCTATCAGAAAAAATAGAGAAAATGGAGGAAAAGTTTATTCGACTTTTTTTTTTCGTGTACCTTTTAATTCTCTTCGAGATTTATTCAGAACATTTTTAAGAATTGTCACAAATAACGAAGGTATGCGAGTAAAATCTGAACAGGTCCCTGTGGTTCTCGATATTCTTTAACCCAAGTCTCCTCCAATACACGAGTCGATTATCGGATTTCAGCGATGGCTGGGAACGTCGGGGGTGGAAAAAGACACACACAGACTCGTTCAGAAAAACACGTCTGCAGGGAAGACTCTTCGGAACTTTTGTCGGTCGGGCATCGCTAGCTACAATTTATTCGAGAAAGTCGGAAGGGTGTTCCACCCCTCGCGAATGTGTATCTCTGGCCCGAGACTTCGTTTTCTTTCTTCGTGGCAGCCGAGTCTGACAGTGGGTTAATTTATCTGAACGAGGGAAACGTTTTCTGGGACTCTCGCTTCCCCAGGGTCGTGGAATGCCGGTGGCAGCACGTGGATTGTTTTTAGGAGCGATCTTTTAGGTTGATAGTAGTCGATGACCATGGAATAATTGTTCGAGTCGATTAGCACATTCACGATTCACATATTGACGAAAATAATAAAATTCTGAAGCTGGATCACGGATCTAACGCGATCAAAAGGTAACACAGCGTGTGGCGTCGAGGCTGTATCGAGGGAAATAGGGTGTCGTGTGACGTTGATGGCCAGCTCGGCTCAAAGAACCCAAGCCACGGTCTCGAGACCCATTCTCCATCGGTTGGTGACCACCATGGGCATCGCCCACGTACCGATCGTGCCTGGACAGCGCAGTCGTCGGGGCCAATCGCCCACCGTTTCAGACCGTATGCATTCATGTATGAGCCGTGAGAACCTAACTGTGAAACGTAGCCCGTTGCCGGGGCCAGACGGACCGTGGCTGCTCGCCTCTGGGGTCAAAGGGCAGCGCCAGTCGATTTTGCATGAACGCGCACTTTCGTTTTTCGGTGCCACGGGATGACAAAAGGAGAAACACGGCACCGTGGAACGTCTGAGAGACAAAAGGGAACCCACGGCGGGGACTCTTCGTCTCCGACACGCTGCGTCGAAACACGCGAACCTGGGATGACGGTAAATATTCTGCGAGTTCTCGCGCACTTGATGCTCTCCCTTTGTATTTTGGGCTCGAGTCGAACCCCGGCGATGCCACTACGGATAAAGGAATTTTTAATGGATCTCGAGAGCGGGCCAGTTTGCATTGTTTTCGACATGTAAGTTCCTAAGGGTGAAAATAGGTTTAAGACTACGTTTTTTTTTTTTAGCGATTTGCATGAATTTTTTTGTTAATGTAGAAGCTATCGAATACGAATCGAATACAACACCATCATATACATTAGATCGAATACATTTACTTCAATCACAGAATGCAAGATGTTACCCAAAATTTGTATTCAATTTTATTCGTCCACGGTTGCGGCCTTCTAGTTGCAATTTTCAACGATGTATTTTATACCTTGGCGTGGCGCGACGTTTAATAATAATCCGTACGCGGAGTCGCGAGAGCACAGAGAAACAATTTCGGAGTGTCTCTGACAAGCGGTAATTGGACTGTCGACAAAGGTACGTGACAGAATTTCACGCATGTCTCCGCACTGTTCGCCGCCAGATTTTAAATAATCCGAACATTTCTATTCGACAGCGCAAATTTTATTACGGGATCCCCGATGCCGCGCCATTTTCTTCAAACGCGTAACTGCGGCCTAACGCGATCCCCGCTTTGGGACGCGCGTAATTACGATGCGCGCATTTATCTTTTTATCGATTGTAAAGTAACAAAATAATTTATGTCCATTTAATATTCATAATATTCACGAAGTTCACGTGTTCTGTTGCCTGTTACACGTCCGTCGCCTCGTTAAGAAACGATTTCGTTGAGGTCCATAAATGTTCGATCAGTTCGAACGACGGAAATATCAGCAATCCAGAAATATCGTTGCGTGGATACGATCCAACAGCATCTCGAGGTTTCTCGAACGAGCCAGAAACTTCTCGTTCATTATATATTGACTATCCACTTCCTCCAGATATCTTTGGGGGATTCGTTTCTTTCTCTATTTAAAACGGCCGAAATTGAACCGTCGGGGGCTGATATATAATTCGTGAGGCGAGTCGATCGTTTCGCGATGCTCCACTTCGGTCAAGAGCCATCAAATCCTCTCAGGATTTACGGATTCATCCTCTTTCGTAGTTGAACTCTGCTTAGCTCAAGGAAAATGCTTCCTTCTGGAAAGCCAGGGAATAATACGAGAACAATAGACCCAAATTTTGAAACAATATTAATTGGAATTAAACCGTAAAAGTGTTTAATTTTCGCTCTTAGAAAATTAAACACCAAGTCCTGAACTTTTCGCGTCAGTGACTCAGACTCTTGGCTTCCCCTAAACCTTAAACGACTCGACGGAAAGTTCGTTAGCGACACGTTCGCTCGGGCGAGGGTTGGCCAACAAAGTTTGCGTAAACACTATTACGGCTACTTCGTTAAAATTCCGCGTTAACGCTTTTTTTTTTTTCTCTCGTGGGACCGTGGCGTCGATGAAAAAACTTTTCCATCACGAGTCGAGAAGTTTCTCCCACGATCGCTCTATGAATGAGTTCGTTCGAGATTGCCGACTTCTCCCGAGGGAGAACCAGGTCGTCCAGAATAAACTTGTTGGTTGTGCAGGCTTGGCGAATACTTAAGAGGACATTCTAATTTGAATTTGCGATTGTTCCGATGATATTTTCAAATTCAGATCCAATTTCAAACAATTGTATTGGGTTGTTCAGAAAGTTTGTGGCAATTTTTAACCGACTTCGAAAAAAGAGGAGGTTACTGAATTCGTCATGTGTATTCAATTCGCTTCATTGGAATGGTTAATTTTTGTTTCAGTTCTGAACGAGCTCGAGGGTCTGACTAGGGGTGCAGACGCCAGGGACTGTCCTCCAGCCTCGAGGGCGGCTTTGGATCCAGAGCACGTGGCTCGAGTAGCCGAGAGCGCCAAAGCAGCTCTAGCGTTTGCCAGAAGCAAGAATCCGGCGATTCGGTGCTTAACCACCAGAGGAACTGTTCTTACATCTAGCATATTTACAATGGAGGAGGATGTCGAGAAGGTAAGCTTGATGCGATGATGTCTCCTGGGTTGGTCTGACCGTCTGAGTCGCGAGGGCTAATATTACCGATCGAATGCACGGAATCTCAGTGGCTGTTTCTATACATAGTTATGCTATCGCTACTGAAATAAAAGCATCGGTACATTTTTAGACCTACGATGGCACTTTATTCGAGGCAGAGGGTACCAATTATTCAAAAGCATCGAGTGGTAATCCTCTATTCGCTTCGTCACTGCATCTTCATCTCTTTTTTCCGCTAAGTGGTTTTAGACGACTCTACTTTAAGCATTAGCAGTTCGATTTTGTCCCATTTTTCGAACTTTTCGCTCCTTCTTCCACCTGTCAAACTTCTAACCACCCTTCCTATCAAAACGAATACGCGATCACTTATCTCCTCTTAACGTATCGCGTACCAAAGAAACAATGCCTTTTCGTGGAAACCGGAGATAGGGATCTTCGTAATCCGTTCCTATTATCCTAGTATCGATAATTTCCTAGAAGCGTTAACCATCCGCTCAGAACCTGGATTCGATATGAAATTTTCTCGCGAAGTGGCGCAGAGGGAGACGGAAGATCGGGAGCGGAATGCTGCGAGAACGAATAGGCGACGAGGAAGAGGAAGAAGTCGCAGAGTGGCGAGGCGTGGAGAATAAAATCTAACGAGCTCGAAGCGCGCGTTATCTATCGTTTGACAGATCAAGGTTCCTGTTACGATCGTATCCTACCCGTGTACCCTGCATGTAACCGACCAGATAAGCGGGAGGCCGAGACGCGTGCTGCGCCAGAAGTTACCGCGCCGCGAGAAGAGTTTATCTGCACGCCACGTGGGGGTTCCCGGATACTCGACCCCTTATCATAACATTCGCGCTTCAATGAGCACTGGTCAATCCCCTACTTGTGTCTTTCGCTAGAACTTGGCTTTATCGCGGTCTTCCTCGTTTTCCCATGACCGGAGCAGAAATTCGCATCGGTCAGAGGCGCCTGCGACGATTAGCGTTACAGTTACGGTTGGACGTTGACGAAACTCACCCAAGCTCGGAAGGATTGACCATAGACAGATTCTCGAACATATTTATTTCCGATATTTTAAGCTTTACAATTTGTTGGAATTCGGGATAATATTTTATAGGAGCAGAGGTCCAAGAATATAGTAATGTTTATCAAGACTCCGAACTTTCTAGAGTTTCGTTCACCTTTTAAGTCGATCTCTTCTTTAACTAAGTGTAAAGCACATATTCGAATCAATACTTGTGTGTCGATGTAACGTAAGGATAAAAATATCCGTATCGAGCGAGGTGGAGGGTCTCGGCCACTATTACTTTTTTACAAGCCGACCCAAATTCGACGTTGGTCATTTTCCGGGTAGGAAGCCATTGGGATTCGCGCTCGGTTGACGCGTGTCATTTCATAAATGATAAACCGACGACTGGGATTCTGTTGCAGGACGGGCTGACAAGAAACGATGACAGAATACTGGCTACGTGCTTGAGCCTTTGCAAAACGGGTAACAAAGATCAAGTAAATGCAGGTACGTACACGAACCTCGTATTTCTCTTGGGTGTACTCCGAACACGTTCTCAACCTTTCCTGCAGCTTTGATAGTGATTAATACCGGGCCGATCGCGATTTTCGTTTACGCAGAGATTAACCGTTATCGCGACAGCGTGCATCGTATCGGAGTCGGGTGCAACTTTTGCTGGTCGTTGCATAATGTATCGCCAACGGTTTAATTCATCTATTCCTGATCGCGAAGACGACACCGAACAAAATCAGTTTCACTTTGCTATACGAAAATCCTTCGCAAAAGTTGATTGCTAGATAAAGCTACAGTCATACCACATTATCTTATATTCGAACAAGAGAACTCCCATCGATGAATCGAACTGATTGCACGGTAAAGCCATCAACCCTAATAACCACCCCCTCTTTCATCACACAAAACTAACATCGCCGACGCACCTCCGAAGTCCCCCAGATAATAAATCCAGACGTTCGTTGATTTCTGTCCCGTACAGAGGAGGGTCAGCCAAGACGTCTGAAAAGGGAGGTGGTCCTACTGACAGAGGACAGGAACCTCAGGGTGAAGGCCCTGGCGAGGGACGTTCCCGTCCGAGAGGTGCCCGACTTCATGCAATGGGCTGGCCTCGGCTGAAACGGTTCCCCGACAAACTCACACACCCGCTAAAACGAAAAATCTCCCGTTACCCCTGCCGAGTAAACATTGACAAGCAGCAGCAACAGCGATAAGACCCAAGCAGAGACCGTGTTAAGGAAAGTACGGTACAGAGGGATGTCTCGTGGATGTTCGTCGTGCACAGCTCCCCTTCTACACAAACACATACACACAAACACATACACGCGCCAATCGTGACCGATCAGCCGTCACACGCACGATAATGGGGTTTCCGTTCGCGCAACTTCGTCCTGATTGTCGGAGTTGCCCCTTACGCGGTGAGCGCGTTATATTATCGACGCCGAGAGGATGACGGAACAGGATGATGCGTCCAAGGGGACGGAATCACTGCGTTTTCCCGCGACGTAGTCACTTAGGGGTCGAGGGGATGGTGAACGGAGGACGTGAGCGATTAGGAGCGCGGAGAAACGGAAGACTTATTTTTCGGTGCGAAAAACGAGCATGTGGGAATCGCGTCGTGACGATTTTTCGAGGTATAAGGAAAAGTAGATCGCGAGCGTGGCAGGATTGGTCGAAATCCCCGAGGAGCTTTTTCGCGTTGGGGATACAGGGTGCGGCCTCGACGGCCAAGAAGATGGCGCACGGGAGAGTCTCCCCGTCTTGTCCGAGGAGAAACGGGAGAACGGTGACTGACTAAAAGAAAAGCGAACGAAAGAGAGTGAAACGAAGTAGGGGAGAGAGAATAGAAGAAGCGTTGGTATTTTTACACGTACGAATTTTTTGGTTGATTTTTTATCGATGACGACCGCTCCGCGGCCGGCTTTTTTTGTGTACCTTCCTTTTATCATGTTTGTAACGATCTATACACATATACATATATATACATACATATGTATGTACATAACTCTCTACATGTATATATTTATACGCACTTTTGAATATTGTATACGCCGTATGCGGTCGTTGGAGGATGCGCTCGGAATCCGCGTACATCTGTGTGTTGTTTGTCTCTTTCCTTTTTGTTCTCTTTTTTATGCCGTCCTTAGCGAGCTTCGTACCGAATGGCTCTGGAATTGACTTTTCGTTTTTCTCACTCGCCATGCTTTCTTTTTCCATTCAGTTCCGATTCATTTTTTTTTCCTTCTTCTGTCGTGTTGCGCAACAAGTGAACCTCGCGTGCAGTTGGCATCCTTCATCGAGCTTTTCGAAGCGTTTTTCGCCGTTGTTCCCTGATGTTTTTCTGCTACGAGTCTTTTTTTTTAATAGTTCCATTTTCTTTTAATTTTTGAGACGCGTTTATTTTACGTCGAGATTTTTTTTTTTTTTTTTTTTTAAATTTCGCTACACCTCACGGATCGCAAGGTTGTGTCAATGATAAAGGTAAAACTATCGATATCGGTAATCGTTTCACAGAAAAATCTTTCGGGCATTTATTAGAGTATTCCCCTATTAAGTTAGGTATACTTAAAATTTGTCACGTTACCATTTCGTTTCTCGTGAAAGAAGTATTAAACGCGGCGCCCACGCGGCTGCGATCCGTGAACGGTCGCGAGAATCATTTTAATTTCTTTTTATAGCGATTTACGCGCTTGGTATCGGCGTGCGGTAAGGGGGATACATTTTTTACAGCACAAAGAGCGACCATTTTAAACGAGCACGAACCGCGGGCAGCATTTTAAACGCTTCTACACGCGTTCGCGTTCCGTGTAACGTGTTAAAGTTTGAGAGCCATACCGTACGAGGTTCCCGAATCCTCGTCGTCGTTTTCCAGCGGCTGCGCGCGTGTCCTTGTAGAGCATGCTGCGACCGCGTGAATTTTTAATCGGGACACCTGCACGCGTCGGGCACGAAAGGTAGGCTCATTGTGAGGTCGAACGACAACGCTGGTTCACTCGTATGTACCGCCGGAGACAGTTCCTTTTCGTTGGTGAACGGAACGCCATTTTGTTTAGATTTGGTATTGCTTGGTCGACGCCATTTTGTTAACCTAATCGGTATCAAAATATCGATCGAATAAAATAGTTCTTCTATTTGGTAAATTGCCGATGTTTCGTCTAACAAATGAATGCCCTTTTATCCGTCAAAGTAATTCCACTTTGTTGGCGAAACGAGCGTAATTTTATCGACCATTTTTGGCGTTATGTAACCAAGTACGCACGCACGTACGAGGATCAATTAAAATGAATTTTAGCGTGTAACCTGAGCCAACGTTTGTAATCAACGACTGTCTCCTTTTCAGGCTCGGAGATGTTTCTCGCAGAGCTTGAAGCTCGATTTTAAACAAATTTCTTACACCGCGAAGGCCAGACTTTTTAAGAGGCCTTCGTTCCAATGACGATACCCGCGATGCCGTTTCCCCTTTCGTTTCATCGCCCTCTGCGATCCACATTTTTTTTTTTTTTGTCGCGTCGCATTCAAACCTTCGGTAGAAATAGTTGCATCGAATAGCCACAATACTGCACCTTAAAGTTTCCGATATAAACGATTTACGCGCACGTTGTATAACCATACCCTCGTAGTAGATAGAATCGTCACAGAAATCGCAAGTCGATTGCAGAGGGCGACCCGCAGGAACTCTGTGCCGTGATAAATAAACGAATCGAATTAGAATCGTCGACCAAGTATGACTCTATTAACGATTCTGCGATCAAAAACGACAGTCGATCGTGAATGTTGGAACCGTGGATCGATCGTCAGCGATCATCGACAAAGCGTGGAACTGTAACGATAGTTTCTCGTATTCAAATTAGTATCTACACGCGTTGCATCATACCGACTCTGTGCTTTTTCTTGTTGCCTGCGATCTTTGTGAATTCTCTTTTTCTTCATTTTTATTTTTAAACATAGCTGTTAAATTTAGGTGGTAACAGAGATTTATTATCGCTCGTATTCGTTGATTTTTGTAGGACCTTAGAGTGTTCAAGGGGATCGCGTGACCCGCGACGTTGCTCGATTGCATATCAAAGATTGACCCTTCGCGGCAGATCGAGCCTCTGGAACGAACAGAAATTTTTCTACTTGAAATATAATTGGAAATTGTACATGATACGGGGATCGTATAATAATTTTTGCCCTGCTGCAATCTTGCAAAAATTAACCCTTTCGAGCTTCATTTTTTTCTAGGCTTTTGTGTTTTTATCATAATATAGTTAATATACTCGATGTATGAGTTTTAGAAGAGGAATGAGGAGGGTGGATGCCAATTTTAACCAAGAAATACGTATTTGTACATGTAATACATGAGATTGTTGAGGCTATTTTAGGTTATAAGTTGTTTACTAAATTTTAATTTTAAGCCGTGGGATGCGTGTACCTCGGTAGGAGAGAAAGGGTTAAATAGTTGCTCAAGGTTGTTTTCCTCGCCGTGAAAAAGGGAGAATTAGAGGATCTAACCCTTCGATGGCCTTAGACGGCCAATTCGTTTTACTTCTACTGCAGTCAATTTTATATGTTATACTCTTTCATTCATTGTATATCACAACGTTTCTCAAGCTTTTTAATTCACTTTTCTAAACACTTCATTTCGCAACATACTCGCAGGACATAAATTCTTTCGTAGCTAATTGAGTATCGAAACGTAAAATACACGATTAATGCAGAGATTTATTTTAAATAACATCGAGACAGCGAAAACCAGAATCGATGCAAAGTGCCAGAAACGATCGATCGCGGAGGGTAAATTGTTTATCGTCGAATTAAACGCGCTCAAGCGCACGTAGGTACGATCAAGAACATTCCGATTAGAACGATCGATATCAAACTAGCGACAAGATCATGGAAACTTTTGTAACCCATTTTCTTCTCTTTCTAATTTTGCTGCGTTTTAGCGTCGATCGGAGAAACAATTCGGAGTGATTTTTATATCGTCGTCAGTGATCGACGAGTTCCTCTTTTGTTAGCCGTTATATTTGGTGTTTTAATCGACACACATTGCGTGTACAGGGTGGGTAATGTGATTTGGTACAGTACAAGGGAAACCATGGTTAAAATAGGAAATCAAATTCTTAACTCGTAGCTTTGTCGAGTTTCAGGTGAAATCGATGAATTATTTTTTATATATTTTATCCAAACACCGAAAAATTTCATTTACCTATTTCCATTATTTTCCTTGCCCCTTCAGGTGTATCGTCAATCATATTCTCAACCTGTACAATTCGACAAAGAGAGAGAGAGAGAGAGAGTGAGAGAAAAATTGAGAAACGTGGGACCGAGAGACGAAAACGCGACGTGTCCTATTTTTCGACAAAGATATAGTTACTTAACGAATCCCTAGCGATTAAACGATGCAGATGCGAGTGTGAGAACGCGGTATAGTGTGCATGAACCCGAGCAGAGTGAAAGAGCGTAATCAAGAATCGAAGAAATTAAAACCGCGCGACGATGGATCGATTGGCTCGCGCAAATTGAATGTATAGTTAACTTAATCACTTCTTGATCGTGCTTTATGAGTTTTTATTTCGTAATTAATTGTACACCACTGCTATTATTAGTATTATTTTTTAACGTAGAGAACGTATACATTAATACAGGATTAGCTCGGTGCTGTCGCGTGGAAACGTGAACGGCACTTTTTGCGATACCATTCAAAGCTCCTTAAAGTAGAAATTTATCCGCAAATTGTAAAACGAAAAAAAAAAACCAATGGTGGAGTGGCGCGATTGGGATTCAACGCTAGACTGCTTGATTCGAATAATTCGACATATTTTCTTGGAATAGAGATATCGAACAGGATACGTAAACGAATCTGAAAATTAAAATATTGGCGTGGATATAAGAGATACCGGGGGTGATACTGAACAAATTTGAGAGGATTCAAAAATCAGGTAGCTACGGCATATTATAAAATTTGTAAAATGTAATTATTCGAAATTCAGTGACGTTTCATTTAAATTCAACGTAATCGCTACTTTACTAGAGTTCTTCTAAATTTTGCCAATACACTGTCACTCGTTTCTCGCTACATCCACAGCAATATTGAAACTTTTTAAAGCGTTGGTGCATCTTACACATCCTGTTCAACACATGATCCAGTTCCAATCGTTCCAAATACCGTAGCAAAAAAATTGTATTGCACGGAGAACGAAAAATTGTCCCAGGGAGAATTTTTCTTTCTCCTAACTATACGTACGCGTATTAAAAATATCCAAAAAAATCGTACAAGGTGCTCGTTGAGTCCTGAATCGCCAGTGACACCGTCGAACGTACACCGTCATTGTTTTCGCTAACTTGTAAGTATCTCTCCGTAGGCTTGTTAGAGATAGGGGCGAACACAAGCAGGCAACGGGGTGTAAGTTCTGAATCGATCGCGCGCATTAGAGAGCGGGGGTGAATGGTAGAGAATGGAACAGCCAGCTAGAATCGGTCGCGTTGGGCATTCGACGGAAACGAGACGCGATCGGAGCCACGAGGCAATATAACTACCCTCGAATATTTGCACAACCTTGCACGAATCGGAGATGGGCAATATTTTTACCTATATAAATGTCTGAAACTTAAAAAAAAAAAACGGTACAAAGCTCTTTATTCATTACACGTGAAATTATAATTGTCACCCTAAACAGAAACAAAATTCTAGACGTGATTTATTAACAAATCCTTTGCAATAAAATTATGTTTCGACTGTATATATCCAGCAGCCCTATAAGGGGTGAAACTTTGTGAAATCTATTTTGGTACAGAACCATAGAATAAAATGTCGCCCATCTCTGAACCGAATCACTGCGACACGTTGGCCTCACCCCGCAATAGTCTGAACAGTGCAATAACGTGGCAGGTGATCGCGACGTTTCCGTCATCCGTTTTCGTTCGATTCGAGGCATTCGATACCTACACGGATCGGTTCGAATCTCACTGGACTCGTTCGGAGGAATTTCTGCTTTCTTACACGCGTCGACGACGATCAAGGAACCGTTATTCTGGGAACTTTTTGTAGCGATTGCACGAGAATCTTCGGTTCGTCGTGTTCCGATGGTGCTCGTTGAACCGGGCACCGTCGAAATTTTGCGAAACTTATTGTCACGGGGTCCGTGTTGCGAACGGATTATTTTTTTAAAAGGGAGCTTGCTAATTCTACTCGAGCCCACTGCAGAAGAATGTAGTAATAGAAGTCACTGGATACATATCTAAACTATTTTAATATCGCAGAGTTAACATCACCGGAGAAAGCAATTTACTCGCAAATCAATTTAAATAATTTATTTGGCTGATCGCGTTACCGAGATTTATATACAAAAGTTAAATTGTCGCTATAACTACATATAGCTACCATTGTAACCCTTTATCTAGAAAGAAGTTATTCTCATTGGGTTCCGGAGGGTTAGGAAGCTCTCGTTCGATTGATTTTACGCTGGCCATAAATAAAGAAACAAACAAAAAAAAAAAAAAAAAACGGGGAAAAAATGAATATTGAACCGCCTGACGATAGATAGACAAATGACGTAGATTTAAGGACGTCGACGCAAGGAGAACCGTGGTGCGTCGACGTCGCCATTTTTAATGCGCGATTTATACGTCCTGGAGCGACGGCGGTCGCCTCTGGTCGCTGTTCCCAGGGCAAAAACATACACCGTAAGTGTACCTATAAATGCATATAAAGTATACATTGTATGAATATGTGAACACACGCATACACACACGTACACACAACTCGTCACCGATTTTATTCAAGATTCTCGCAATAACAATATACGCGTATAGAATTAAAATATGTAAACAACGGGGGAGAACCGTTCGTTTGTATCTCGTCTGGGAATGAAAGTTTCAGCGACGTGACGATTGTGTTGATAAAAAAAAAAAAAAAAAGAAAAAAAAGAAAGAAAAAAAAGAAAAAGAAAGAAAGAAAAAAAATACGATAATTACGGTGGCGATGAACGAAGAAACATAGAATGAAGAACGCGATCCGATGATCGCGAACGATGACGACGCGGCGGTAGAATTTTTAGGCTAATCATTTATTACACTTACGAAGAATGTCGCTACTATAGTGTTACCACTTTGATTATTCAATAAAACGTGACGTTGACGGAATCGCTGTTGAATCCACGCGTATTGTACATTTTTTAATTTTTTACTAACTCTGCTGTGACGGTTTCCAGAGTCTGAAAAAAAGGATACCTCTACGCTGAAAATACTTTATCATGCCTGTCTCAACTAAAGAAAAAGAGTAACAGCATAGAGTCAGGTACCCCGAGGAGATGCTTCGTGTTATTCAGCTCTCACAGAAAATTCCATCCATCCATCCAAAACTGGTCAATTGGAACCTAATTTTTATTTGCAAAACATCTCCATCATATTCCCTTCGGTATCTCCTTCGCCAGGTCTTCATCACTGGTGTCCAAACCGTCGGATTTACAGCACCTCCGTGACACCTGCGACCGTTTCGTGGAATCCACGATGACGGTACGGTTAATTGGATTCCGTCGACCCGATTAGGACAGATCGTCGTCGTCAACGAAGGGTTAACTGTACAGGGGAATCGGGAACGCGGCGTCGGATAGTAGATTTCCGGCCGAGTTTAGCCAGCGGAGGGAACTGCAGCAGGAGTCCTCTGGCGAGCGAGAGTCCGCCAAGCTGGTTATTTTTAACCAGCCAACCTTGAACTTGCTGCCGCCACTGCTGCTGCTTCTGCTGCTGGCTCTGCTGCTGCTGCTGCTGCTGCTGCTGCTGTGATCCGATCACCAATAAAGGGACTTATCTAATTCTGAGAAAGGCGATCGGCTCTCTCGGCTAAAGGTAAGTACCCACGCTGTATTCCCACCAGCGGCGTGCCTCGTACGTACGTTATACTACATCTTAGGCTCGGGACCGTGGCCAGGGACACGGCCAGGGTACGCTTGAAAGGGACCTTTTAACATTCGCCAATATATGTCCCACGACGTTGCTGCCTGGTCGGGGTTATGTTTAAAGATGTGCCCTCGTCGTGGAACAATTGCGCCGGGATATTGTTTGATCTTCTCTTTTCGCTTGGGCTACGGGTTTTTAATTACAAGTATCGGGTTTCGATCGACGATTGAGCGATCCTTTGCTGAGTGTGAATTCTATATTTTCTAGATGTACGATGACGAAAATAATCAAGTCAGAGTTCAAAGAACACAATAAAGTATAAATAGGATTGGATAGTTCCTAGAGGTCTACGACCGTCCCACCCCTAAGGGCAGCGCACAATCTCTAACCAAATCAAGACGTTACGTTCTAGCAGACTTTGAACTGATTTCCATTCTTATATCAGCCATCTCGTAGCACCAATCTGCGGAGCCTAAATCTGAAGACGTCATCCGCAACTCACGCACAGAAGGTACACCTCGATACCGAAAGAAAATCCCGCGGATGTACCGTTTTCAGCCTGATCAAGTTTTCCACGTGCGCGCTGGCCAGGATCTAAGGCCATCCTAATCGCGGTTATCTGTCCGCGTAGCTGCACGTGTCCCGTGCACGCCGTTTTTCATGGAGGCTAGCGCAACAAAAGTGCCTCGGCGCAGGTCGTGCACACACAACCCCTCCGCGAGGATACGCGGCCACTGCGTCAGGAACGTCGGCATGTCCGTCTATGGTTCTCTCGGATCCTCGTGATAACTCCCGCGAGAGTTATGCGGTAGCCGCCGCGAGATAACATAAACTCGCGCGTTATCAGATCAGACAATGCATCCGGTGATTTGTGGACTCACGAATGAGGTGACCTGCATACCGAGATACACCGTCTTGGCGTCGTTGACTGGCCCCATAGGACCGTGGAACTACCGACGAGTCTTTCGCGTATTAATCCGACCGCTCATCTGCATAGTCGCGTGACTCGTTTACTCGCCCGAAACGAAACGGGCTAAACGCTCTGCCTGGACGGGGTTACGAAATAATCGTTTCAAGGAGCACCGTATTACTGGTTGGTTGAACTGCAAAGATGGTCGGGGACGAGTTGGAGCGTGCGCGAATCCAGGTTACTGCTGTATGCTCCGTACTTGAAGTTCTACTCATCTTTGGGTATATGTTACCCACTCCGTGTCGAAAGATGATACTCCAGGTTTTCGATTAAACATTCAGATCTTAAATACATAGAAGAAGCCATATGGCCCTCGCTAAGAGACTGCGAATATAACACGATACTCTCTTTAAGTCGTCGAATTGCAGCACTACCTGTTAGAAACCAAGTCCTCCCAAAGAATACCTCTCGGACCGCTCACCTACTGGTGCAAATTAAGTAAAGTACTGAAAGATGTTGAAGCAAGAGCGTGCTACCTGCAAAGGCTCATAAATTGGGATTCCAGGACAGCTGGACACCGCGTGTGCGTGGACCAGAGGTCACCACGGCCATTATATCATCGCGGGCTGATTTCTCGCGGCGTGCACGCCGCGGCGGCGTTTGGTATCAACGGTTGCTCGTGCATTACGTTTATAGGAGCACGTAATCGCATTCGCAAGCGGCTGCACTTGTCCGACGGGAGCATAAAGCCATGGCAGAGAGAGAGAGAGGGAGAGAGAAAGAACCGCCGGCGTACGCCGCCATAAAGGATCCGCGCACGCGTCCTCCCGTGAATCTAAAATCTAGCCTGCGCGGCTAGTTTCGAGGAGACTACGAACGCCAAGGCAAGCACTTGCGCGTAGATCCGGCCAGATCCTGACACGCATGAAGGACCGCATGTGTTGTCGGCCTCACAGCCGTCGTTTCCTGGTAGCAATTAAAATCGCGCGTGTCTGCAGCTTTCCTCCCCCTTTTCATTCTGCACGAGAATTCCTCGTCTTCTTCGTTTTCCCTCGTCACTTTTTGGTCGTCCACTTTTTTTGCCTGCCGTCTACGAATGGCGGTCCTTGCGTCGAGGGCTACTACAACTTCCGTTTCATTTCCAATCACTTCGATCCACGAACTAACTGTCGACCAAGTACCATTTCACCAAGCCCACGCGATCCAACATCTGAGAATGTTGCTTCTGACCAAACTCTTCATCTATGGACATCTTATTGAAAATATAATTTACGACCTGGACCACCAGCCAAAGGCGAGACTTTGCGAGATCAGTTCTGGCAGTCACCGTGTCGAGAAACCAGGAAGAAATACTGCCGTATTTAACTTCTTTCTCCCTTCCATTTGCACAAGACCGTTTCGTCTTCTTTCTTTATTTCATCCGCTTTCTTTTCTGTGCGCCGCCTTTCCCCTCTCGCCAAAAACCATCCTTTTCCTTCCCCGCGGGTTTCGACGGATATTTTTCGTCGAACGAGCCGAAGAGTTACGACAAGTTCAAGATCACAGGGTCGTTGCACGTGCACGAGGCCCGCGTAGGTGTAGTCGTGCACGCTGTAGCGGAGTCAGCTGGCCACGAGCCAGATGTAGCCGACGCTGGCTACAACTGGACGACTTTCGATCGTCGCGGGTGGGCTATAAACGGTAATCGCCCCCGTTCCAACGGACACAGAAAAATTAGGGGAGACGAGGGATCGTTGGCTGCGAGGGTCGTTCTCTCCACCCTCGATTTTTACTTGCTTCGCTCTTTTTACTCTTCGTGGGAGAGCTCGACGTTGGGAGCATCGGGTACAGGTTGGAATATTGACGCAGACTGGATTAGTTTACTCCTCTTTAGGTTCACATTCCTTCCTTCGGTATATATACAAGGTCGAACTGACGTAAACTTAGGCTATAGATAGATCAAAGATTAATTACATCGGAAGGAAACTTTACCCTTTGCACTCTGCGCCGATATCTTTGTAAAATGTGTGAAAAAAGAAAAGATCGCGATATAACGAATCCGCACTCGACGGGGTCGCGATAGACGGGGGTTACCTGAATAAAAATGGACGCATCGCGTGACCTGTGTCGTCAGGGTTTCTAGAAGTAGACGTATAGACCTTGCATCCAGTCCTTTCATTATCTGTAATCCGCATTTTAATTTTTCTCGAATCAGGTCCTCCGTCGTTGGTCGCTTACCCTCGACCTTGGCATCTACCCTCGTTTAATTGGAGAATATCCGAGACCGATTCCCCATCGTCTGGTACGTGTCGTCCGTTCTCGTTCTGCTCCGTGGTCGGATCCCACGCGTTCCATTTCCGAAGTGTTGCGTAAGAGTCGGCGACGCGGACGGGCACCGCGACGCGCAGCGATTCCCGGACGAGGTTCCTAACCCTCCGGTCACTCGGATGCGTTTTCTGTATTCGTCGGAGCGCTCCAGCCTCGTCTGGGTTACGAAATGCAGAAGACGTACTGCGCGAATGCGGTAATCGCGTTCCCCTCGCCGATTCGTGCTGAAAGCTCCGCTCTTTCGGGGAACATGTCTCTTCCTGGACTCGACGAGACGTTCGAATGTACGGGGTGGTCAGGTAGTAACGAAGCGACGACCAAACGGAGACATCGCGTATACGGTAGACCTGACGTGGGAGTTTAAACGAAAAATAAGCAACGGAAATTCGTGTTCTTGTTTGGGTTCTTATTCTTGGGTATAAGGTTAACCAAAAGCTAGAAGGTGACTGCTAAAGAAATAATACTCCATTCTTTACTCCTTTTTTTATTCTTTCCAGTTCCATTTCCAAACATTCGTTCAAACTCTGTTCCTGTCGTCGATCTGTTCAGGACTCGTGGATCCTCGTTCTAGCGAGCGCACACCTCCGTCACGAACAGGCTGTTCGCGCGATCGGCTAAGAAGCCACGGCGAGGAACGCGTTCAGTCCTGTCCAGGGACGATTGACGAGAGGATCACGGGCACAGTTACAGGACAGCAGGTACACCGGTCGCGAAAGACGAGCAGGACATCGATACACGTCCGGATGAATTCACGGAATTGCATAATGGCGGGTATAGAGAACCGGCGACCTCGCCGCTTAAAGAGGATACTCGTCCGTGGCGATTCTTATCTATGTAGGAAGTCATCCAGTCGTCCTCTTCTCTGTTTGCGTAAAGAGATCCAATCTCCCGGCGTGTGTTAGGTAATACTCCGGCCGGCTAAATGCATATTGTCGTGCCGTCGACTTCTTCCACGGTGTTGCTAGTGGTTTACCTAACTTCGCCGACGGAAGTCGGCCTCGTCAACGAGAAACTGGTACGCTGGCCC